GTATATCTTAGTCCGTGGTCGGGAGTTTCTTATCTTAACGACCATGGTCGGGCGTCCCTTATCTTCCCGACTATGGTCGGGCATATAGACACAGCGTAATTATTAACTGATGAACTTAGGATTTCAATCATCAACATCTCGAAAATGATTAAAATTAAATGCAATTTGTTGTGCATGTATAATACTATAATATGACATGTCTCAAAATCTACTAATAGGACAATAGGTATAGTCAATAAGTAAATGATAGATTATGTATTCTATAAAATAGTATTGTAGTATTAGTATATTAGTTGAATATACAAAATAAGTATCTACTCTTTTCAGAACTATTGTGGTCGTCTATTTGTGGATGAGATTAATCCCAGATAGGAGAACGATAAATGGTCAAACCGTATGTTTATCGATAGGGAATTTTATGGAGATTTAACGAATTTTTTTGAAGTTAAATAGATAGCTTCAAAAAACCATTAAAAAATCAAAAAAATCCTACAAAACACGCTTTATCAAAAATCATAGATTATAAGTTATGATAACGGATCATTAATCACTATAACCACGGTTCAGGTTTTATATGGTTACCCTTTCAAATGACAACAATATTGAGGTTATGTTCGTATCTTATATCAATAATATTATTGTACGTTAATAATTGAACTCAGTTTTTAATTTTTATTGAATTTATAAAATTTAAAATGTATTAATTACTTTTTACTATTTTAAGTAGGTTTTATATAATTTATTAATATGTTCACTACCTGTCCTTGTGCAGTATACAAATTACAAATCTAAACAGTTCACCTTTCATGTGACTTCCGTAAGTCGTACATAGTTTTTACTAACCTGCTTGTGTATTATTTAGTATTTTATTTTAAACTACAGTGTAATTACTTGTAGGTACAATTTATTCGACAAAGAATTAAAACTATTGCGAGAACCAAGTTAAACATATGCTATCTACGAGCAACAATCACATTCAAACCATCATTACTCAAATCATGTAAGTTCTGTATACCGTTAAAATCCCAATCCCTATAATCCCTATAATCCCTATATTTAGTGGAAGCGTGAAAAGCTGTTTACGAGGTAGCTGCCTCATGAAAAATGGAAGGAAGGTACCCCAATGACTCCAGTCTCAAACACCTATTACTATATTTATAATATTGACAATAATGAATTACCTAATGAAGGAGCAAGTCCATTGATGAAAGACTACTACCACCTACAATAATCAAACATTCAAATCTTCATTATTCATAACATATCAAGTAAGCTTTGTAGTGATATTTATCTCTCTGTACTTTGTAGTATTAATTAATTTAGTGTTTTAGTTCTAGTCAAGAGGGAACAATAGTGAGTGATGTAGGAATGTGCCTGAGCCTCGAGGAGATAACCTATTTGGAAAAATAAGAGCTTAGTTTTGGATAAACAAGGTAAAGAATATTAAGAATATCTTGGAACTAACATTGACTTTTCAACTATGATTCAGCTCATACATCTTCTTTGGACAATCACAAGTTTTTATTTTCAGCCAATTAATTTTTATCCTTACTGTTAATTTTTGTATATTTAACTGTTATTGGTGTTTTATTTACTTATTTTTTAACAAAAACATATTATGGATAGAATTTATTGACAAAGTGTTAACCATTGTAATACATTATACAGACATAAATTTTCTAAATTTCGGTGCTGGTCTAGTTGACCTCCGCCAGGAAGGCAATTCCCCCGCCACTCAAGTTTAGTTGACGCCCGCCACTTACATTTTGTATTTTCGATAACCAATAATTCATAATTTATACAATATTATACATTTATTAAAAATTATACAATTATGAACAATTCAAGCGATCAAAATAAAAATATATAAAAAATGTGGTAATACTTCATAATATTATATACCGCATCTGCTGTGATACCTATCTTATATAATTCATTTTACTACACGGATTGTACCAAACATAATTCTTAAAATATCTAATTAGAGAATTTCACACAAATACCTAACGTATATGATTTCGTACCTTTTTTATCCGCACTCTGCAGTATATCAGTAATATATACATTTTATAACATCAAAAATACGAGAGATGTAGGTAAGTGGCGAGCGTCAACTAAACTTGAGTGGCGGGGGAATTGCCTTCCTGGCGGGTCAACTAGACCAGTACCTAAATTTCAAACACAATTTATTTAAAAGATATAATTTAAAATAATAGTTTTATTAATATAGTTGGAAGTAATACTTCTAGTTTTAATAATATTTTGAATAATTTGTTTTTCTAATAATATTGAAGGTGTCTATTCTATCAAATATCTAGGAATATATATTAAGTCCCAATTAAAATAGAGCATACATATAAACCATATCATAAATTTAGGTCGTAAATTCTTTTATGTTTTTAAAGGCAAATTTATTTCAAATTTATTTCAAAGAAATATTACTAAGGTTTATTCTTGATAAACAACAACTTAGAATTATTTATGTTTTCTTCATTCAATCAATAATTGTATTTGGTATTGATGTACCTATGAGGTGGTGCTTATGAAATCCGCTTGAACAAATTAAAATCCACTATAAATAAATTTATTAAATTTATTTTAAAAGTTCCTATTCTTACTTGTACTAAATTTATTATTAAAGAATTAAATATCTTAGATTTTGATAAGATTCTCACTAAATGTATTTTACTATTAAGTTTTAAGCATCAAACGTATTTACCAACTTATTAATAATAATATTTATTGGCCAAAGATTGAATATTAATTACATAGTTAAATGGCCCATCTCACCACTGAGGATAACCTCTTATCGGTGATGATGGAGTATTATTTAAAGATGAGTTTGAATTTATAAATTTTATAATATTTTCAAAATGTTTTGTATAAACTGCATCATATTTCACTATAATTCAAAACCATAAACTTGTAAGCATAATAATACATAACTATAATACCAAATTTAAAAAAATATATAAATACTACAATTGTAGTTAAAGTTGCCTAAATCATAAAATTTCGCTTAGTAGGAAAATGGTAATAAATATTAATCAATTCACTTATTTATTATAAACATATTTTACAATTTTCTATAATGAAGAAGATTAATTTAGTATGAATTTTTACGAAATACAATGTATATATAATTAATATTTTTTAAGTATTAATCAAGTATTTATAGACATTTTTTATTACTTTGTAACTATATTATGAACTCAAGCATTAGCTTAAACCAAAACACTGGACCCCGTCAACATAATATTGTACTTGATTATGTTATTTACTGTAAAAGTATATGCTATGTATTATTATTATTATATTATTTTACTATAATTATTAATAGAAAATATATATTTCATTTCGTTTATCAAACTCAGATTATAGTTGTATCATAATTCATTGCAAATATTTTTTCAGGTAGGTAATAATCTGTTCTGTTTTATTACAATAACCGAATCGCGAAAATACCAAATATACAGACAGCGTTAAATTATTATTATTATTATATTTACCTAATAGGTATTGTAATTTTTTAATATAAATTAATTGGAATACCAACTGGATAATTATTTTCAATTTAATACTGCTATTTTTTAAATATAAAGATTTGACAAAGATTAACACTGGACCTCATTGATTTATTATTTTAACCTTTAGGACTCCAATAGAAATTACTTGCCGACCTCTGGCTTATACAATGTGTGTAAACAATCATAATTATAATAACTGTTTGCTTGTAAATATATATTCAACTATTAAACCATGTTTGTAAAATTAATTTACATGTTAAAATATATTATTCTACATAATTATATCTAATAATCATATATATAAATATCTAAATCTCTAAATGTATTGCTGTGTAGGGATAACAAACCTGGGTAGCTATAACAAACCTGTACCGAACTTGTTTTTAATTGAGTTAAGTTTGAAATTTTTTTTATATTAACTTTAAATTGATAATTTGCTCCACTTAAACACAGTATGTTACAATTTTTGCGCCCTGGGTAACCATATTTTTAAGCCCCAACCCCACCAAAAAATAGATCCACTTTTTTGATTTTTCTTAATACACTTTAATTGTCAATTCGTCATGTTTTAATTACTATTATTAAAATGTAGGTATAAGGTATAACAAAATATAGTATATTATTATACACAGTAAAAAAAATCTACAAAAAAGAATATAATAGGTATAATGATTATAATTTTTTTTCAAAATATTACCCCATCAAATTAAGGTACAAATCATAGTACAAGTTCTTTCCAAAAAAATATTTATTGTTACTATATTACACTGGACTACAGAGCCACAGCGGTGACCAGCTGCCCCCCTAAATATTTGGCCGCAAATGTCCCCGTTGCCCCCCTCATAAATAGCATTACATAGCATTCCATGTGACATCTCCACCACACAACTTAATTTTTTCCATGATACACACTTACAGTCACAAAATAGATATCCAATAGACAACAGTAAACATTTTTTCACAGTTGGTATTTTCAGTTAGTATACCCTATAAAAATAGGAATAATTTCAATGTTTGCAAAAACTTGGTATGTGATATAGAAATATAATACATAGCATTTAATCTGTAGTATTAGTATATCAACTAAAATTGATTTGCACTTATAACTTTTTACCCACTTAGATCTCTTAGTGCACTTTTTCCTTCTAGCACTTTTTCCTTTAAAAAATAAAACAGAATTTTTAAAAATTGGCACTAAATTTTCACAGTAAGTTGAGAAATATCTACTAGAGAATACAAATATATTAATGATTTATTCTTCAAGGTACATGATTATAATATTAAGTAAATAGAAAAAAATAATTGAAAACTAACACTTTTGAGAATTTGATTTTCTTTAAGACAATTCTACAGGCCAAGTATACATTATAAATATTGCAATTATTCAAGTAAGTTATAAAAACATGACAAGAAATATTACCATCTTTACCAAAGACTAAAATTGAAAAAAAAATAAATGAAGAAGTTAGAAAAATGATGGGTGACATTTTTGCTTGTATAGAACCAGAGTTGATTGGATTTATTCAATATCATGAAAGAATGGATAGCACGTAACTATGATTATAAATATTTTTTATTTTAATTTTTTATATATATACTATATTATTTTAGTTATTCAATGGCTGTGTTAGTAAGACTGGGCCGTCATGTTATGTCTGCTAATGATACCGGCTCCTTTTTAAGTATGACTTATGGGTCTGCATTAGTTCATGTAAAAAGAAATTATGATAAACTCATGCACGCTCACTTAAAATCAATTCAAGAAGTAAGAATTATTAAAAAGTCTAAATGTGGCATACTTCCTTTTGTTGCCAACTTTGAGGTAACTACAATATTGTTTGTAATTTTTGTTGTTAATTTGACATAATTTTAAAGCTGTCATATAATTTTTTTTTATTGTTTACTATTAATTTTTGTAGTATTTTGCCAAGACAGCTGAACAAATATTTAAAGAAACAGAGCGTCGAACTGATTTAGATAAATGGTATCTGAAACTCTTAACTGTAATGTTTGAAACTATTCATTAAATTGCCAGTGAACACCCTAAGACTCCCGCCGAAGTTATCAGAATGGGTAAGAACCATAAATAGTTTTAAATTTAAACTAAATTAATACTAATAGTTCATTCATGGATTTAGAGAACTTTCACCATTTATATGCATTGCTGTTTCAATTAAAAATTGGTATATTAGATCAATTCAGAAAAGATGCAAAACAAAAGTATAGTGAGGCATTAAGTGCTTATGTAACACGTTATTTTGGTAGACCGCTCGAAAAACTGAGTGTGAGTACTGACTTTAATTAATTTATACTATGAAAAGTTTATTTTGTTTTACATCTAACATACTTCTTCATTTTTAACATTTTGTTTAATGTTTAGTTATTCTTTGAGGTTGAAGCTAAGGTTTCACAAGGTATAAAAGAATCAGAAGTTGGTTATCAAGTGGCTTTCAGTAAACAAGAATTAAGGAAAGTAACTAAAGAGTATCATGGATGAGAGGTGAAAAAAGGCTTCGATCATTTATATAAAAAAGTAGAAAAACACCTTAGTGAAGAAGAAAATGTACTACAAGTAAATATTATTAATTGTTAATTATGTAATTATATAATTATTTGTTATTCATCATAAACCATTGTTTATTTTTGAACCACAATATTATTTTATTATTTGCATTAACTATATTTTGTACTTATTAATATACCCAAGACTAAACAGTAAACAATTTTGTTTTGGATTCTGAGCGGAGCAATGATTTTACAATAATGTGTTCTTTTAAATTTTTTTATTGTTTGTGTGTGTACACTACAAGTAGTTGAAATAATGTTTTGATTTTCATCTTCAGTATCTAGTTTGATGGAAAAGTGAATCTAGTTGGTGCATTGCATCAAGGATGTCAAAATTTAAAATTACCAGTATTTTTCAAAAACGCCAGAAAAACAAAAAAAAAAAAATAAGAAAAAACGTAAATTTTTACGCTAAATCGGTTTTTGACAAAATTGATTTTGGTTTTTGGTGTAACTCGAAAACAAATGAGCATAAATACATAGAATTTTTATTGAATATTTATATTGACATTTTCTATACACCATAAAACTTTCAATATCTTTTGATTCGTTTTGAGCTGTTTACGGCCATTTTCAATTTTCAATTTTTTGTTTTATTTTCTATAATAGTCAATACGATTTTATTTGTTGAGTCAAAAAGTATGAAAATTGAATTCAAGGTTCCTGATATATTAGTTACTTTAGCAGTTGAAAATATTAAAAATTCATACACACAATTTTTTTTCACAAGCATTGAAAGTTTGAATTTTGTCAAAATTAAAAAATTATGTTGTAGTTAAAAATTTACAAAATATTCAACTTTTATAGCTAAGGATTGAAAATTTATAATAAGGTTCCACGTAAATAGGTAAATAAATTACTGAATTTACAATAATATCATCAAATATACTTAGTTATATCAATGGCTGACTGACTGTCTTCGCTCAGAATCGTTTTTCATATACAATGATATTATATCATTGAGTTCAAATTTAACACCATCCATTACAGTGATCCACTGTACAGCAGAACGGCACACACTTGCCTACCTTTTTTACCTTTATAATAAAATAAATGTAATTTAATCTATATTATAATTTTAAATTTTTTTCAGGTGGTTTGGAGAGCTATGCAAGAAAAATTCATTCAACAATATAAATATATTGAGGACTTAATTCAAAGGTGCTATCCTGGTTCCATGATTTCATTAGAATTTTCCATTGAAGATCTATTACAGTATTTCTCAGAAATTGCTAGATCCCATTAGAATATTTAAATATTATAATCAAAAATATAATATAACATAACATGTTTAAACTTTAAATTGATAATCTATTGTATTATCATTTTATCTATTTTAATTTTAACTTATTTATAAATAACATTATTTTGAGAAAACATTTTAATTTTGTTAAAAGTTATGTTCCCAAGCCTTTCTAATATACTTTATCCCTTTTTATATCATACAATGTAAATTGTAATTATGTTTAACGTTTTGAAAATTATATATTTCTGAGCATAAAATACTGTATGTATTAAGTGTTATAAATATTTTTATAATAAAAAAGTCATGAGTACTCAACATGTTTTTGAAGGTATAATATGTAGCTAAAAAAATATCATTGGTTGTTGATAAACCAATGTGTGTACAATAAGTAAATTTAATAATATGAGGCGGTGAATGAAGAACAAATGAGTAGGCATTTCACATTAGAAATGCCTGATATTTTTTTTCACTTTTAAAAATATTTTTATAATTTCTTATAAGTATAACAATGTATTTATTTTAGGTTGGCTGCGTAGTGTGTATGCTTAGAATGCGTATACCTATATTGTATTATGTTCAATAAAATTATAAAAACTGATTATCAATGAGAATAATTAGTGATCATTTAATATTTATGTTTCTCGTGGTATTCACAGTAGCCTCTAATCCAGATGGTGCTACGTGGTGGGGCTTAGGGGACGGTTAGTCCCCTGAGTATGATTTAGCCAGCCCAAAATTATCAATTATTGGTTTAGATATAAGCCCTATGGGTATTTTTAATTAACAGTTTTGTTAGGTGGGAAGTAGCCCCCCCCAGAATTTGAACCCTACTACCCTAGTGTGGTAGCTTGTATATCTACTAATTTATTGTTAGGTACGTATGAATAAAGTAGACTAGTTGACTCATGCTAGCAAGTATATAATTCTTAGTAATGAAACTGCTTTTACATTGCAGACCACAATCATTTCTGTAAAAGTACAAACGATTTATCAATAGACCGTTTATGTGCTGAGTGTAGAAGTTCTATGGATTTATCATATTAAAAAATATATTTTATATCATCTATGGCAATCGCCAATTGTCGACATTCGTCTGCGACGATTAACAATTCTAATAATTTTAGTGAAAAAAAAATAATAAGCCATCAATATGGACAGATAGTTCGTTAAGCCGTATATATTATTATGTAAGTTTTAACACGAATTCGCACATTTCGTTATGTTCAGCCGTTCAGGTAATTTTCATAAAATATTTCGATAATTTCAAGTTACAGTTCGGAACGAGATGAAGATAGCTGTTTCTTCGGTGGCGTCACGTACTGGACGTTTGCGTTGTTGATGATGCACTCTAGCTAGGTTTCACCGGGAGAGTCGATGTTTCAGGGTAAGCTTGTTTTCATAATTTCATATTATTTTGGGATTTACGTTTTATTTTTAAGCATTTTCATAATTAAAAACATAATATAACGTAATGTTGTAGTAGAAGCTGGAAACTGTAGTAGGTAGGTACTAGGTACCTATATTCTAATTAATAATCCAATTAATGTAAATTTTTGAATTTTTTAAATTTTAATGTAACATTTATTATGCCTACACAAAACACTTACCTACCAAAATTGAATTTTTCACAAAATTTGTTGTTTTAACGATAAATGACAATTTTAGTTCCCTATTATGGTGAAAGTATTTGATACAAACAAAAAATTAATGTTCGAAAACACAATTTCCTATATTATTATTTACTAAATACAAAGAAACTTAAAAATAAAACTATGATCATTGATTACATACAGAGTACCTATAATATATTATGCATGGAACACGAAGGTATTTATTTTGACTATACCTACTTATCGTGTACGCATCAAACACAAAATAGAAATAATAACAAACAAATTAAAAATTAAATACACATCATAGTAAAATCAAAATATTCATCGCTACCGCTCAGAATCTAAAATATAAATTATAGGTACCCGACACAATTAAATTAACATAATATTAAATAATAATTAGTAATTTTGTGATCAGCAGTATTCGTAGAAAATATTAGACTTGGAATTTTACAAATCTAGTTGGTATTATGGTAGGTACTGTAAATTTAATGTACTTAGGTACCGTATATCTTCATGTTAACTCTAAAATCCAGGAATCACATTTTCATTTAATGATTTTTAAAATACAATATTATGCTTTTATAAAAATATGCTTGTACTTCTGATATATATTCACCATATTAATAAATAATTAAAATAATATATCATATTTAATGTTATTATAATTGAAATTCAAAATTATAGACTATTTTGATTTTTGTCATAATATACAATTTCAACGAACAAATATTGTTCCTCAGCACGGAACTCTTTGACATAAAAAGTTGCGTTGGCGTTACCTATATGATATCCGTGGATTCATCTTATTCACGTACCTAGTATAATATCTATCATTTATATTCCATGGCAAATTTCCAATTCATTGCAGAGGACACAGTCGTCTTTAAAAATTCCAAAATTTCAATAAGCAAAGCCGATATGAGCAAAAAACTTACCGCGTTCCGTATAATTTTATTTTTCATAAATCACAATATTTTAAGTTCTGTATATTATGGAGATTTTCCTCGTCAGCCTCGCAGTGAACACACGTCACGGATTCCGCCGAAAGAATCGATGTTTAAAGTAAATTTGTTTTCATATTCTTTTGGGGATTAAATTTACTTTTAAGAATTAAGATAAATATTTAATGTCACGAAAAATGTGTTATTGTAGACGCATATTTTATAAATTGTTTTTCCATTCCCCGGTCGTAGAATAATTGTAATTAATAGGTGAATATGAAAATTGTTTACTTGAAAAAGACATATGTTTTGGTTTAATTTATAGAAATATATGTTTTAACTGAAATACAACTGAATACAATTTTAATTTATAATAACTGGTCATATTTTTCAAATCCAACGTTATAAGTTATGGGTAACTATATTAACTTAGTGTAACATAGGTACTCAACTTCTATTGCTCTCCTAATATCTATATCATAGGACTCGTAGATTGTGATACATTTTGTAGAAATTTGAACTTTAAATGCCTATAAAACAAAACTTGCCTATGTATTTGTAATATTTTTTAACTTCTATTATATCAACTTACGAGGAACTTTATACCTATTATTTTTAAGCTTTTTGACCCGACGAATAAAATTTTAATGACATTTATA